TAATTTTGTTTTTTTACTTGTAAATTATTCTTCAACCAAAAATAAAATCAGAAAAGATAAAAAAAATGTTAATCAAACTGTATCCTTCTTATATTTTTTTTTTTTTCGTTGTGCTTTAGTTGAGTAATTTATTTTGAACGAACTAGTTTATATTTTATTTTATTTTTGTTTTTTTTTTTACTTGTAAATTATTTTTCAATCAAAAATAAAAAAAAAGATTAAAAAAATGTTAATCAAACTGTATCCTTCTTATATTTATTTCGTTGTGCTTTAGTTGAGTGATTAATTTTGAAAATGTTACGTAACGTAACAAAAAAAAAAAAAAGGAAAGAAAGATCAAAAGGATAAATCGATCGATCGACTGATCGATATATTGATTTTATTCTATTTTTATTGCTTAAGAAGTTCTATAGAAATTAATTAATACACAGTAAATAAATAATGACGTATGAAAGAATAATATTTTAAAAAGAGAAACTTTCTATTCGTTATAGATGATTAAATGATGGACTCAAACACGAAGACCTTTAATAGTCCTTGCACCGGATGCCTCTTTCTTACGAAACTATTTCTAATCTTTCTTTTTTATGACAACGTTGTAAAAATAAAACTAGAGAAACAGAGACAGTAAAATAAAAAAAATAAAAATAAAAAAAAAAGGAAAATTTTGATCGTTGGTAAGAATAAACAAGTTGTTGTTTCGTACAGGACTCGTTTTCTTTTTACTAATTTATCATACAAATCTTTCAAACGAGAGTTCCAACTTTCACGAAATAAAAACATTCAAATTATAGATATTTTTTTTTTTTAAGAGAAATGGCTCATCAATCGAACTAATGAACCAAGAGAACCAATAGTCTACTTTGTTGTCTTCAATTAAAATATTATTATAAATAAAATATTATATTAATATAAATATTAATATAAATAATTAACATAAGATCTGTTCGTGGCTCGGTGCTAGAGTCTCGAATTCGTATCCAAGAATCGCGGGTTCAAATCCCGGCGGCAGTCTTGGAAAATAAAATGTAAATAATTAACATTGATAATTATTATATAATAAATTATATATATAATTGGATATTATATATATTATATATTTTTATATAATTATTATAAATAATATAATAAATATATATATTATTTTTATAATAATATTAATATAAATAATTAATATTAATAATTATTATATACAAAAAANTATAAATAATTAATATTAATAATTATTATATACAAAAAATTATACATATATATTAATTTATTTATTATTATATTAATTATATATGTAAATATATATTACAAAAATATAAATTATATGTATATTTATGTTACAAATGTAATTCGCAAACGTTTAAATGGCAAAAAAAAAAATAATAGACAAATAAAAAAAGAGGAGAGAGAGAGAAAAAGAAAGAATGAAAATGGCCTTGTACTCTGTTACAAGTCAGACAGAAAGATCAGACAAAGATCACGTAGTATTTCACGAGTTCCATTTAGTTTTTTTTTAACATTCTAAACATTAACAAAAAAAAAAACAAATAAAGATGATGTAAAGATAAAACATCATCGATAAATTGCAACAGTTTATTGAATCAAAAAAAATATCATTAAAAAAAAAAACAAGAAAGAAAGAAGAATAAATCAATGTAGAACGATTGCATGAAATTAATGAGAGAGACAAATGTAATTAACATTATTTAATACTAATTGTGCAAATAGGTAACATCGCGACAAATAGAAGTTGAAAAAAAAAAAATATAATTATTCGAAGGTTGATGTAAACTAGATCATGTAAATGATTTGATCCAATATTCATTCGTTTGATCAATCTCTTTTTTTTTCTCTTTCTCTTCTCTTCTTCTACCATCAACGATTATTTCTTTTGCAATAAATTAATAAATTAAATGAAATAAGAAGAAGAAACTTAGTAGTAAATCTAGGTCTACGTAATAATAACTCTGACACACGCAATTTCTTATGCAATATTATAACACCAACCAAAGATACTCTTTGAATCTAATCAAAGAAATTAATCTAACAAAGAATTTTTATCGACTTCTTGGTTCTTACGCAAAATTGAAACGAAGAATCACTTTGACGATGCACCTTTACGTACGAGAGAATAATTGCATTTAAAGTAAGGAAAAGATGAGTAATTTAGATAATGATTCTTGAGTTGAAAGAAAAAAAAGAAAAAAAGAAAACAATTCGACCTTCGTTATAATTAACCGATCATTAATTAAAATAATAAAAAAAAAAGAAAAACAATGTTCGAATTTTTCAACTGAAAAATGTTGACTTTTGTTACTAGTGCAAAAAGATAGTTTAAATCGATTTCACTTGCATGAGCAAAGAGTTTGCGTTTACAGTTGGTGTGTCAATAAGTCAATATTTAGCCTGCAGCTTTTATTTGTTCTTATTTGATTTTTATCCTACTACTTCTACTTCTACTTCTACTTATCCTTTCTCGACCTCGAGTTTGAATGAAACACGCGATGTTTGTTCTCTCCTCGTGTGTTGAAACTTAAAAACGGATAATCTTACTTAATCTCTTAGTGCTCTTTAATTTTAATTAAAAAAAAAAAACAAACAACAGGACTATATCAAAATGATAATATGCATTTTCATTTAATTGGTTTTTACGTTCTTCCCTTTCACGGTTTTTTAAATCACCCTGATTCTATAAAGAAGTTTTCATTTCAAAATATATGTGAAAATAATTATATGGATTGAGAGTAAATATAACAACAAGATCCTGGTCATTGTCAACGATAAGATTAAAATATAGTAAGAATATTTATAGTCACCCGTTATGTATAGTTTGCAAGCAGCAACAACTGGCTAACGACTAGGCGTGGTCCTCTGGGTGCCAACCTGCGAGCTCCTTATTTCTTTCCATTTTTTTTTTTTCTACTAATACATATATGTATATATATATATATACATTATATAGGTACTTCAATCTATTTAGCAAACTTCTACCATAAGTTTCCTATAATTATATTCAACTAACATATTTATACTTAGTTTATATTACTAAAACTATAATATATAAAGTAAAATAATTACTAAATAATATTGATTCTATATACTTTATATATATTTTAACTTTTATATTATAAATACTATAAATATTATAATTTAAATATATATTTTATTGTATATTTGAAATATATTATTTTACCTTCTACTATACATTAAATTATTCAACATGAAAAATATTATGCATGTAAAATTACTAAAAAAGAAAGAAACTTTTGTTTGTGACAACTTAATATAAAGATATCTCGACTCTACTTTATTTTACGTTTTATACTTGAAATATATTATAATTTACCTTCTATACTCTTTAAATTATTCAACATAAAAAGTATTTAAAATACCTGTACAACTATTAAAAAGTAAGAAACTTTTGTGACAACCTATTATAAAGAAGAATTACTTTTTAAAAGGAATTAAAAATAAGTATCAATAAAAACAAATTAATACAAATGACATATTTTTATGTCAAGGATAAGACGATGATAAAAACATAAGACATTGTTAATTTTCTTATATTTTTCTTTTCTTTTTCTTTTTCTTTTTTTCTTTTCCATGAAGGCTGTCGACCCAGCGGAACGAACAAATTCGTATTATTCGAAAGGAATCACGTAATTGAAGACGCTCGTAAGCGCTTAATTAATGACAGACAGACAACAGAGGAAGAAAATGATTCTTAGTTTAAACGAAACGGAAGTTGTATCGTATATCTTGTCGCCTATGTTGTTTTATAACACGATTAGAACGAGTATCATAGAAAATAGAAAAGTATCTTCTTGTCTGACCACTTCTACGTGACTACTTTACGTCACAATTCAACAATTACCAGTACTTATTGATTTTCATTTTTATTTTTATTTTTATCTTTTCCTTTTTTTTTCCTATTTAATTTATTCACTTTGTTTTTACATCCCTGATAAACACTAGAACTACCACACTAGTCTGATATATAAAAGATACTTTGAAATAAAAAGTGTCCTATTGAATAATTATAATTGTTTATATTAACATCAATTTATTATTATTTTACCATTATATTCTTTGTGTTTTTTTTATACGTAGTTTGAAAACGTACGTTTGATTGAGAGATTAAAAGGAGTATAAAATTTTTTCATAGTAGAACTCGTTTAAATAACCTTTATGATTGAACAGACATAGGGGAAAGCTTGCGTCTATGATCGAGCACAGTTTGTTCAAATGTATTAGAATGATGATACCTACTTTGGGTGAAATGAATAGAAGATGAGTTATACAGTAAATATAAATGTATACTTAAGAAAATACAAACGATTAAATATGACGAATGAAATTAAATAAGGATTTCAAAACAATTCATTATAATAATTACAACGACAAGACAATTAAATGAAATTTATTTTGAAATATTATATATGACAAAAGATGAAGAGGAATCATTCAATGAAATGAAATGAAATGAAACGATGAATAATATATATTTTATAAATTATAAATATAATATAATAATATTATTATTATTGTATTATAAAATAATATAAGAGTATTTTAATATATATATATATATA